TTCGACTAATACTTTGAACTGAATCTGGTTGCACCAGGATGTAGATCAAGTAGTTACTACCAGTAACTACCAGTCAAATGGGCAAACAGGAGGTGGTTTTTGTTTCTTAATCCAAAATCCTACAAAACAATTCCTAAAAGCATATGTCGTACAATGATGTTCACAGTTACAAAGAATATTACAAATAACATCAATTTTGAGAAATACTCGTACTGCAAAAGGACGGGCGATAAATTGAATGAATTGGTTATTATTCGCGCAGTGTAACTAATATGAATTATTTCTGGTAGTAACTACGATTTGTCTGTAACTACGCTATTAGTTACGCTGCTTAACTAATAATAATTTAGTTCACAGAATTCAGTAACGGATGTTCAATTGATAACCCATGGTTTTAGATTTTATTCTTCTATTTCGAGTAATTAATAACTAAACGTATCCGTTATTGATTAATACTTTGCCCACCCTTTGCTGAAATAATAGCCACCGGTGAATACATCTGCGACGGAGTAGTCTGGGAGCGCCCGCCGCACGCGTTCGTGGCCTGCCCGCGCGGGGATTTGGTATCGCGATCTTTTCCACCCTGCAGGCTCAATGCAACCGGATATAATGATTGTCTTAAAGCGCGTTTCTCCGCGGCAATCATTCGTCACTATCAGTCGGCGCTGTCGTGAAATCGCTAAATTTCGCAAAAAGGATGTTTTGTAACACATGGGAGTACGTTTATGTATCAACTCGTCTCTTCTTGCTGGTATCATGGGCTAGAGAAATCCACAGGGTTCCATTTAAAAAATTAAATGTGTCAATATTTCTTAAATTAAGAGTTGTAGCTTAATATTATAATCAATGCATGTATCCTCGCACACGTTCGTTTTAATGAAAACTAAAAGTCATTATCTATAACAGTTCAGGAGATATTCGAAGGGAACCATCTGCAGTGAGCCACGTGTGTATACAGGCAATGGTCAGACAATCGCTTCCATTCCAAAACAATAGATGTCTCAGATTCACATCGTGTTGGTTTAAACATATTTTCGCGGAGGAGGTGAATTAATTCGCGGTTTCGATGTTGTAATGGTTAACGTATCGGGCTGTTACACCGAAGTTCGCGGATTCAAACTCGAACGAAGCCGTGGATTTAAAAGGGCGAAAAATTCCTTCGTATGCCTTCCTTCGACACGGAAGTAAAGCCGGCTGTTCTAAGTAGTAGATTTACTGCGTGTTAAATATCCTCAAACCTAAAAGAAGCCTCAGTACTAAAATCCTATCGCCGGTTTCGTCGTCCGAATAATACCCACTTTTTCCGCTAGATGGAGAAAATAGTGTAGCGAAATTTGCGTGGTCAGTCGGAAGAATGGACTGAGGAATGGACACGGACTGAGTCTCGTCACATAAAATATGGCATCATTGAATTGAATCATGACATTTCTCTGATACGAAACAATGTTTATATTCAAACGTGGGCTAAAAGGGCTTCTTTAAGCACAATATTTCCATCGCTGAAGTTTTCCCCCCTGTATTGCTGCCTGCAGTATTTGAAAATGTTCCTTCTTTTACAATGAACACATCTACTTTGCTTAGAATTTACAAGTAGACAAGGGTCCTCCCCGTTTTACTCAAGTCAGATCAGGAGCGCTATGGTAAATTTCGGTGGCAAATGTCGCGGAGCAATGAGAAATCAATTGTCAATTGTCAATTCCTAACGATCTGCTTAGGTGGCAGTTAACAGTCCCTCTTTTCCCTTCCCGACTTAGAATCTAACATCCCTGCTCGTGCCTTCGATCCCACAGATTGCTCCGGCCGCGAAAGCGATTGCTTCAAATTGTTTAACAATAAAATACTGAGTATGACACGCGATTTAAGCGAGTTTTTGAAAACCGTGCAGTCCGTTCGACAACTAAACTTTGTCTGTTGTGGGTAAACGTCTACTTGCTTGTGAATACCTTTTACTATTTACTATTACTATTCTTACGTATAAACGAAGTAAAATACGTATATACGTAGTATGGAGAGAAATACGTAACGCTGCGGAGAATCGATTTCGAGATTTTATCGGAAATACACGTTTTGGGGTGTCCAGATACCGAAATATATTTTCCCCCAAAACGTCCATCCGTCTTTTCCCACGAGCAGATTGTACGAGCAAAGCACATGCTTAGGGCTGCTGCTGAATAGGGGTCCCTAATAACGCAAAAGCTATTTAACAAAATTGTATAATATCTACTTCATTTTCGTATCGTACAAAGTGAGTAAATACAATTAAATACACTATTTTCTAAATTGCAATCGTTACAGTAAACTTTAATATAAACTTTGATTACACATTCAATACGGATCAATCATATTATTAGAACGCCCCGTATTTTTTCCTTAGTCTTTTGTCTCTCGTCTCTTGTTCCACGAAAACATGATCTCACTACACGAAAGACAACACGGCGATACAGCAACAGTATCGAGCACCGGCGACACTCGTCAGACAGCGCCACCTGCCCGCCAGCTTTCAGAGCTCGTGCTTGCCTCGCGCGGCCGCTAGATGGCAGGCGCGTGCGCGACGGCGAGTGAGCGGCCACGTGCGACAGACAGCGCCTCCTACCGTCTCGGTTGTGGCACGTGAGAGCGGCGGCAGACGCTTCGTGGCACTCTCGACGGCTTACGACAAGCGATTCGCCGCGACCGAGCTCTTTAGCCTGCCATCGCAATCCAGACAGCGCTATCGAGAAAACCCATTAAAGCGGGAAAGGCTTAACTACTCTCGTTTTCCGATGGAACAGCCAGTTGACCTATGCCGACCACCAAACAGTCTGTCGCCACCACAAACAAATCACATTGGAAAATGTTTTAAGGGGGTAATACATTCATTGACGAGCACCATCAGGCAGGCATAACTGAATACACTGTAATTTTGTAAGTGACATTTGTGTTAGTACAAGGATGCTCTGATTTTGCGTGAAAAGAATACATTATTGGGGACAAAATTACAGTGAAAATTAAGAAAATAGAAAACCAAAATTCCCTATTTCTGTAGAAAAGCAACACCATACAAAGACTCTAGTACTGTTATACAACGACACATACTTTTTCTTACTCGTTAGTTTTCTTAACTCTCTAGTGCAGGGCTAGCTTTTCGGTTTTGCTCCACCCTCTTTCCAGATGCCATCTATTGGCGTCTAAAAGACAACATTAGGCACATTTTTTTAAAATTAGAATCTTGGAATTGAGAGGATCTTGTGGTAAAATGTAAGGGCGGATTTTTTATGTGAGTAGTGATGAGGGTGATACGGAACTCTTGAGAAAGAAGATCATTTGAATATGAACCAGGGTGCTTTGTTAATTGCACTTGAAAACTATTCTGGAAGGTCTCAAGTTTCTGAATGTGACATCTGACTGCTGAACCACAGGGCTGGATGTACGTAAGTAAGCGCGGTTCTAACCATAATTTTTTTAGAGAGGGTGTAAGTGTTGATTTGGAGGGGAGACGACCGACTGGAAATTATCGTCGAAGTATTATAGAATTAAAATTACCAAGAGGTATTTTACAAGAGGTAACTGGTTAATTCTTATATTCTGACACTAGGAGGTCGGTGGAAGGGATAGTCACTTCGTTCAAGAAGAAATTAAGATAATTTCTTCGCGGATCTTCTTCGAACGAGGCAACTGAGGACAGCCTCGAAAGCCTTCTAGGTTCTCATTCGTCCTCTAATCTCGGCGTTTGTGCTCAGAACATACAGGAAGAAGAGAAATCATAATGAAACAATGAAGTTCTTAAGGAATACTTTTAAAATATAATAACTTATCGAATAGAGCTAAATATAATTTACGATTGTTTGTGGCAGTCGATCTTAAAGAGTGAACAAGATTGTTTAGTTACATCTACTCTATAAACGAACAATTGTTCGGATCATAACATATTACAAACACTATTAAGTTGGTAGCTATTACATAAAAACAACAATCAACATTCTAATCAGTTTTGCTCACATACTATGACTTTGCTATCTACTTGTAATTTAAATCAACACAATTTACAAAATATAATTTGGGACTGGCTCCCGCCCACTATTTCAAGCAACCCCCAACCGTTCCAACATGTTGTAATTCAGAATTATCTTCACGATTGTTTTAGGAAAATATCCTAGACAATTTCTAATACGGCACATACCAAGGAATATTTGTTTTTGGTACTGACAACTAGCGGGCATATGGCGCTGTATTGCCGAACGCACACTGTCTCGCACATAGTACGTAAGTTTCCAGTACAATAGTCTACGTTAAACAGAAATCTTATTCATTTAATTTATGAATTGCATGTTTCAATCAAATCCTAGACACAGAAAAAAGGATGCGACATCGGTAACAAAACATCGATGCTCAAAACTTAAACATTTCTGTTAATAAAACATCGACCCCAAACCATCACCATATTGTAAAACATCGATGTTCTCAAAACTGGATAAATAATCATTAAAGTTCACGTGGGGAGATTTAATTAGAAAGTGGTCTCGTTTATTACTTATTATTTGAGATTTATCTGACAAAACGAAGTATCATCACGAGGTATCACCATCCGATAATAAACTAAACTTCGAATTTGATATGATAATTGAAATATATTATAGGCATCTTTATTGATGAAAACTTTATTTATTTTTCACCCTTGGTCACTGGTTTGAAGAATATTCCATTTATGGATATCTGAGAATTACTGTAGAATTTTTTTATAACATTTTTTTTTTCATTTAAAAAAATATCAACCACGTAAATCTATCGAATACATTACATCGATGTTAAAAAAACATTGACTTCAAAATATTGAAAATTCCATCAAAACATCAATGTTTTGAAAACCGCCATGGATGTCGAGACTCACACACAGTTGTTTACATTCCATCGGCGCCGTGGGTCGGTGGGGAGGGGGAGAGGGGTGATAGGACCGTCGTTCCCAAACAGGTCCCGATGCAGCACAGAAAGCCGGCCGCGTGCTCTCTCTGTCCCTCACTCACCCGGTCTCCAATGCGCGTCTCGTCGCTCTTGCCGCGCTTTAGCGACGGGGCGCGGATGACCTTGCTGGCGGGGGCGGCGCTCATGGCGTCCATCGCCCGCGAGGGCGACGAGGGCGGCGAGGGCGGCGCGGGCGGCGAGGGCGGGGCGCGCGGGCGCGGGGCGGCGGCATGGCCCGCGGCTACAGCGCCCGCGGGGGCTCCGCGCCGGCGGCCATCGCTCGGCGCAGGCGGCGGCGGCGGCCTCCTAGAAGCAGCAAAGCACGCGATGCACTCGCCGTAGCGGCCCTCCCTCTGGCCTTGCTCAGCTGTCCTGGCAAGGCGGCGATTTACTTCACGCAACGCTTTACACATTGGGCCACTGCCTTCAGCAGCTGCGAGGGACATTGTCTTAATAACGAACTAAAATTAAATTTATCTAGTTACATAGACTACATGCACACTGACATACCTAACTAGCGGGTAATTTTTTTTTTCTCTTAATACTCGGATATGTTTTTATGTGTTCATTCTTTCCTGACATTCACGCACCATTCATACTTCTTTAACATTATACACACTACACACAACCGTTCATAGAATCCTGTTTCAACCTCAGGACAGTTTGCGCTCGCCCACTCTCACCCACTTGCCATTTGCCACAACGCTTACGTTGTAAAAGACAATGTTTTTATTAAAACTTTTTTGCTAAAGGTAAGTCTTTAGCAAATAAAGTTACAATACAAAATTGTTAAAAGCCTACAATTAGTATCACATCACTCGCCTTTTCCCTCGGGGGGAAAATACACAATTTGATGTTTTACAATAAATGGAAGCCATCTGACGTTTTTTAGAGACATTTCTCCATTTGAAACTCGTGAAATGTAGATGCATTTACGCCCCTTTGTTGTGTTAAAATGACCTACATTGACCAAAAAATTGAACTTACTTTCGACAAGCAAATTTCACTTTTCTGAAACACATGTTTCAACATTTTATGGAAACTGACAGTGATTTTCTTTAAAAATTATGAAAAATCAACACTTTTCTGAACATCGGTTTACTTTTTTTACTTAAATCATTCAACAACGAAAAGTTGTCAATATAACACACTTAATACCTTTCTGCTGTTATTTCTAATACTCAAACGTAAGGCACTGAAGATTTACTGGGATAGTAAAGAAGCTATCGTGCACTCCTGAATTTTAAGAAAAAATGTGCATATAATTGTACAAATGTTGTAAGACCATGGATACTCTTAAGATGGTGTAGTAGGCTACACTGTCCAACTGTTTTGATGTTTTCCTACAAAGAAATTTTTCTTTATGCTTATACAGTTCATACAGAAAATTAATAAAAAGACGTGAATATGAAAGGAACTTTGAATATGTACTATAGGATTGGGGGGGGGGGCGCCCTTCCTCCTAAGGGTTCGCCTTTGTGTGGCACATCATACGATTTAAAAATATGAAAGAGCATCTCTTTACTCAACACTAGGAGCACCATAAATGTAAAGTAACAGAACACCAGAACCACCATTTAATTATAGTGAAATAATACAACAAAAGCAATACCTACAGTAACTATTCAGTACAGTACTTTTGTTTTTAAAAAATATAACAAATTTAGGATAGCATATTGAAGTACGATGCATGAATCACAATAGCACGTTCAATTATTCGTTAATTTAAAAGTGCTGCACACACTTTTTTTACGTGGTAGCTGTTTTCTCAGGTTTCCTTCCGACACACATCTTACAAATTCCCGATACACATCAATGATACACGTAAAATATACAACTTTGAATGGGTGCTGTTGACGACGAAATTTCGCACATGATTTGTTGATTAACTCTTGCACAGTGTTACAGTCCACATGAAAAATCGATTCCATGATAATCTACAAAAATCCCTCACTTCTTGGTTTCACTCCCCACGTCCAAAAATACCTGTGTTTCCAAGTCCGCGAACGTCGACGAGCCATGATGTCTGGCCGGCGGCGGAGCCCCCGAGGGCAGGCGATGGCCTATTTACACGACGATGAGACGGCGGCGGCGGCGGCGGCGGCTTCGAACGCGCCAAGGCTGTTCGTTATCGCGCTTCCTGATATACTCGGCCACAACCTCGCGTGCTCCGCGGGCACGCACTCGCCACACTCCACCACACACGTGAACGGCGCGACTGGAACCGGCTGCGATCTTCAGGTACAAAGGAAAGGCGCAGGGGGCACGAGGGGAAGTCGAAAGGCAGGGGGGAACCAATGGAAGGAAGCGAATCCTGTGGGAAACAGTGCGGCTGCGTTGGGTCAGGTTAGGTCGACCCGCGTACAAACAGGCGAAGCCCGATTCTTGGCTGGTTGCACTAACAAAGAGTCTATCTGGTCTGGGGAGTGGAGCTGTATCATGTCCTCAGGAGTCGAAGTCCCGTGGAACTGCTGAGACGCGCGAAACGGCAGTGCTCTGGTCATATCACTCGCGAGGCGGTGAGAGCGCGAGCGCCGAGACTGCGACTGCGACTGCGACTGCGACTGCGACTGCGCTGACCGGCGGGACGGTGCGCGTCTGAGCGCGCCGGCGGCGGCCGCAGCCTCTTAAGCCCTGCGCCGCGACCCACACCCACCAAGGCGAACGTCCGCCGCCGGCGCGATAAATCGGACCCGCGACCTTCCCAGCGCGCAGCCGGTGCAATCGCCTCGGCTGCAGAGGAAACGGTGGCGCGGCGCGGAGCGGGGCGGGGAGGCGGAGCAGGACAGGTCAGGACTGGGGCGGGACGTCTGCTGAACGAGCAGGCGACAGGCGGGCCGCCGGTAATTAGGCGAGACACGCCCCCTTTCGGCGAACGAGCAATGATCGAGGCCTCCGAGCGCCACGCTGCATAATAGGGCGCGTTGGAAAGTCGCCCCGCGACAGCTGAGGACCTGCCGCCGCCAACCGCTCAGCGGGAACGGGATTACTCGTGTTCACTTCATTAAGACAGAGTGAATGTCTCCATGATTTGATTGCTCACCAGGAATGTAATAATCTCCAAATGATAGCAAAATTAAGAAAATTATAAAAGAAATCTCTCACATCACTATTGACATAAATATGGAATATAGGGAATTGCAAGAAGGGTAATGTTTAGCAGCGCATGTATTTGTGACCATTTCTCCATTAAAAATCATAATAAAAGATATCAACGAGTAAACCTCTCTGATGTTACGTTACGGGTAATCATGAGATTAGCACGCGTCTTGTTAAATAGAATGCAAAGGGCTTAATAAATATATGTGGTTGTAAATGATGAAGTGTTCGTTGATTTTATATTAGAAATATATAATATACTCTTGTCAGAAATTAGAACAGAAAATAATCATAATTTTTTTAAGAATAATATTTTTAGCTTTGAGAGAAACGTCTTATTCAATAAAACATGATGAAAAAATAATTAATTGCTGCCATAATGAAACAAAAACAACACTATTGTAATGTTGTGTTTAGCAAAACATATTTGTGATTACATCGTAGCAAAGCTAATTACATTATCAGCCCTAAAAGCAATTACAATATTTGGTGCGCGAATCAAATAGGTATAATTCGATGTAGTTTCATATTTCACATTGCCATATACCGCCAACAAACATTTCCAATATAATACAAAAGGCAATATTTCTTGAACTGTATGTGACCATTATGTTCTCGTCGATTGCCCTTTCAATTTACGTGCTAAGGTTCGAATTGCGCATTCTAATTTCTTCCTATTCCTAGAATTTGTCTCATCCCCACCCTTCAAATTTCTTCCCATCTGCACTTGAGTGGCTTGCGCAAGGCTTTCAATGTCAAAGTGCAATGTGCAGTGCAGGTCTGATGTAAATGAATTAAAACTAAATTAAATAAAAGTCTATATCGAAACATTACTTACATAATTGTATGCGTGCTGTCCGTGCCAGGTATATTCACCTCCCGCGCGAGTGGTTCTGGGTTAGATTTCAAGTGGATATTCGATGTTGTTATTTTATTTTAACGAACTTGGTTTTGAACATACGATGATTGCACTCCAGAACTTTGCAACAAGCACTATGATTTGAACACGTTTTACACAAATAAATGTATTTCGAAAATTTCTCTACCCTGGTATGTATTGCAACAATGAAAGATCTTCCACGCACACTCGTATTCACAACAACGCCCGCAAACTGTAACTCAGCTGTAACTGCATCCGGAAATGTGCACCCACCGTGAGACAGAAAGGTACTCCCAATTTTACACAAAGAACTCATCAAATGTACGTTTTGATACAACAAACCGAATTTCAAATTTAAAAAAATTATCCAAACATCATAAATAATGCATTCAATATCATCAATCATTGACTGAATTAGTGTGCTTTCAATAACATGCGAAATTCATAAAATTAAGTTGCTGCTAGTGTCAGACGAACAACGAAAATTGGTAATGCCCTCGGACGCTGCGAAGCACTAGGCGCCAAGACCTCCACCCACTGGTAGTGCAACTGAAGGCCCTATTGAGCCCCGTGTTGAAGCATAGAGCCAAGGAGTAAATTCAGTAATAAAGATCAGAGCTTGACATGGTGCGAAGCCTGGGGAGCGCCAGACGCTGGAGGGAGCGCTCATTGGTTCAAAAACATTTCAGATGCATCGATATTGCTGCAATATCTTGAAGATTAAATAACATTACAAGGAAAATATATATTTCTAATATATTATAATACCTTTTTCGATTATCTTGTAGTTGTGCCACCGTGCAATATAACCACGAACCGCCACGAACCTTGAACATTTTGTTAAAATGTCCGCGAACCCATATGTCGTTAGAAGAAACGAAGAAAAACATTAGAATGCGATAATTGTATTTTGACTAATTGTCAAAATTATGTCCGTAACTTCATCCGGAGGATTTTCTACGGTTTTTAATCTCGTATGCTAGTATGTAATATGTTATGATATTATATTTAACATATGTATTAATTCTATAAAACTTGCTCGGTTTAAAACCATTTCATATCATATATCTTCAAAAAAATCATAGAGAAAAACGATCAGTATTACAAAATTATTATAACATATATTATAATACAATACATCGCATGTAGTCATAAAATTATCGTGACTCTTTTGCCCCTATTTAGAAATCACACATTTCTCTTAAAGCGGCTCCACACATTCGCCATTCGCCGAATCCCGAACAGCTGATGTGTTCCGCGGATGTTCGCTTTCTTTGATGTCTCCTAAAGACCGACAGGCAGTGGGGCAGGGCGAGCACTGAATGCT